TGTTCATCGAATATGTCACAGCCTTGCCTCATCTTGAGGGCTGTCCTTTTGCTTCTCCAGTTTAACGTCGGTAAGCTGTTCATCTTTGGAGAGCATGCTACGAGTCTCAAGCGTTTCAGTTGTCCCCGGTGCCAACGAATATTATGGCAAACGCCTTGGAGTCATTCACGAGACGAAGTTCCCCGGCAAAGTAATATACTACAACTGCCATGGCGTTGTTTGGGTTGGAAACGCCACCCGGCTACTGTTGTCTCGCTTCAAGTATAAACCGTCAGTTTTTAATCAAGGTAATCTAATTTTATTTTCAATGCCTTGTCTGACCAGGTCGATGACCAGTTGGTAATCAGCGCCAAAATGACCATCTACTTGGAGATTCTGCGCATCACAACATTGTTATTACCCGTCATCATACCGCAAAAGATTTTGACAGTTTCGTGCTCTGATTGGATAGCAGCTTTAGACCATAGCGAACACAAAGTCAAGGTTCCCCTTGGCTGGAATAAAACGAAGTAAATGCTGCTGTTCACCTGAGGGTCATACCACATATAAATGCAATCTCTACGTGCACTTGTTCTGTGAATTTGTTGAATCTGAATCGGTATGAATCTACACTACTGGTGACACTTATTTCTGGCAGTTGGCAGGCCCTTCATCACTCAGTTCCGTTCTCGTTCACAGTCTACGTTTTGTACATTCTTCGAATTCATGTATTCATTCACTCATTTGTTCGTTTATTATTATTTTCATAACCTTCTATGCACCTCGGTTTGAGGAAAAGCCCATCCGGTAGATCTTCTGCATGGTTACGGTCCAACGGAACAAGGTCAGCGGTTCTGGATTGCGGAACTTACGAGGTTTTGGACATAATCGAGTCATCTGGCATCCAGGCAGACACCCTTATTATGACTTTGACGTGATGGTGCACGTTGTGAGTGTTTCCTGTATCGCTCTCACCTCGTATACAACGCAACTGTAATCGTTCGAGCTGAAGAAGCAGCGGACGGGTAAATAAAACTTTGCCAAGTGCGGTCGCCTCAGTGATTGTGCGATCCACGTGCTTTAGGCTATCGTCTTTGTTCGAAGTTAGTCCCTCGCTGATTAGCCTTTTTAGCATATTATAACAATGGTTGCCTATGTTGTGAATGAGAACGATTTTTTTCGCGGTTTTTTCAGAAAACATCACGTTTTGGATTGGGCCAGCAGAAACTACCGGATTCATCAATAAAGATATGGTGCCAAGCGAAAATGGCGTTTACCTCAAGCCGAAGTTGCTGAAGCCTCGCACCCTCTGGAACGCGTCAAGCTCGGTAAGAAAATGATGCTTATTATACTTAATCGGTGCCTGTTTAAACAAGCCACTAATTTTTTGCTGCAGTATCTTTTGGTTAACGAGACGAACCACAAATCGCTCAACTTGAAGGATATAGTAAGCCTGGTGGCTAAAAGAGCTCAGCAGATGAAAAAGTCTGAAAGCATCATGCAGCATCCTGAAGCAGCAGACAGTAACATCGGTAGGTCCGCTTATTACGGAAATTTCTTTCCAGTGTGGGCTAAATGCGCGTCACAGTTTACAGACGAACAGCGGTTGCTGAACAAATTGTGGTGCAATCATTAATCAGGCAAAAACGAGAAAACATGATGCAAAAGCAGCCTGCAAACGAGACTTGTAGATTGTATAGCTTATATTACATATACGATCATGTTATAGGCAGTATACAAGGCCGTACTTAGCCGTTTTTATTTTGACTTTATTCCAGAAGAGAAATCTTGAGAAATTCGAGCGAGGTTCATTCAGCATCGAGCTGAAATAAATATTTGCATCTTAAATGACTGATTTCTTAACTGAGGTTCATTCTATCTAAATTTTGCGAGTCATCAAATTTCGTTTCATATTTTACCAATCACGTTTCGAATGAAGCTTCACTTCTGGCAAGTTTAATTAGGTATTGAAGATAATTTGTAGTAATTAATTAGTTTAATGCCTCGGTGATCAAGCACGATCTTCATAGTCAACTTTTTCCATCTGGATTATGAATGTTGATATTCAGACACAGATGAATGAGTCTAGTTGCGGGCCATCTGACGTGTCCTGAAGTTGCAAATAGAAATATAACCCCAGATATGGGGATCGAGCGAATACGCAGCGTAAAGAAGCACCATCAAGGTGTAGCGGCGACAGGTTCGAAAACCCGTCACTGATGAAATAGCCGCAAATAACCTACTGATGGTCCCATAACTAGGAGAGAACTGGAGTGACTGGTGCCTAGTAGGGACATTAATGCCACCGCTGTCATGGGGTTCGACCTGGGAATGTCAAAAACCGGAAATGACAATTTCTATAAACAGCCAGGTAGCAGCACCCGCTTATATCAACTGACCTCCCCATAAAGTTCCTCAGTGGTAAGTACGGTAATGGGGACAGCCACAACAACCAGCAGAAACTAACCAAAAGACTGAACAACAGAAATGAAGTCGTTTCAAGAAGAGATATAGAAAATTAGAAACATAAAAAATGAGTCAACTGATGAGCTACGCGTTGGATAACCATGTCTCTGTATGCAAACACATTATTGATGTTTCGTATAAGCAAATATAGAGTACCAGCTTCTGATACATGGTTTGTAACAAGGAAGGTACCGCCTCAGCCTGCGGAACGGCACAAATGCATCGATGCATTGCAGGTGTTAAATTACTACATAACAATGACCCCTTAAGTATTTTGAAGGAGACGCGTGTCATCCGCTATAAAACTGGTCATCTTCAGGACCTATATGCTTCTCAGCCAAAGTGAACATGGTATAGTTTCACTGCTTAAGAAACGAAAGCCATTTGACTCCAAATCGCAACATCTAAGACAAATTACTGCAGTCGTGCGATGGTTGATTTAGTCAACGTGATTGACATTTCACAGAAGCTGAACATCTTGAACATGAACATTTCCAGGCGAAACCTCGAGCCACCAGTTTGATGCTATAGAGTGTCTCAGTGCTACATTCCAGTGTACGTTGGCTTCTTTGAGTTCCTATAAGCTCATTGGCTAGGGGGAGAATGCCACTGGTTTATACGCGCATAATAGCTTCATTGATGCCGCAACCAGGATCCTTATCCGGAGACCAAACTTGCTGTTTCGCTGACTCCTTTATCCAACGAGCTTTCAGATTTGCACAGAATTCTCGAATTGTGACATTTCGCCTAAATGGCTAGCATCCGTTCAAACAGAATGTTGACGTGGATATGCCCATCAATCTCGGCGAGGAGAAAACTAATAGCCAATTCTACTCATCATCATTTTTTACTTTCATTACAAAATTTTACAGTACTCATTGCAAAACGTCAAATATTCTCATTAGATGTTTGATTCTGTTTGACATCATACTGGAATATTGATTCATGCGTTGGTAGTCATATTCGAAACAACATGAAACAGGTTTATTCATACACAACACCAAGAAATTGGTCTGACAGTAATGACTTATATCAACCTTCCAACTTCTGTCTCTGAGGTGTTGTTCAAGGTAAAGAGAAGAATAAAGAGTGGATGTCCTTCGATTGGTCTACGGCACAAGGCACGTAATGGAATCGTTTCTGAGAAAGCAAACCTAGTAGTCTTGAAACCTACCTCAAAATAAAATAGCTCTTAAGTCATTAAAAATTGACCCTGATATCTGGGGTGAGTTCGCTGGCAAATTGCTAGTTTTCGATACCGCCGGCAAGAATGGCAAACGCCCCTTACTTCTCTTGATTCGCGTGTTCACATAATTCGTACGGTTCCCTTGCTTCTAGCAAGAAGAAGAAGAGAATTGCATAAGCAGGTATGGATTTTAATATATCTTAGCAATTAGAAACCAATCGATAGTGCGACTTAGCCTTGAATCCGGAAAAATGGCCAGAGATTTTAAGCTATACAAACAATACATATTTTTGACTATTAAATTGTTTTGCTTTTGTCAGAGCATGACAATGCAACGGAAATGAAGCCAAGAAAGATATACATTTTGACCGGCGGCGACCTTCCGATTCCGGTGACAAATCGGCCTGCGGAAAACACCGCGTCTGTATCAACGGTTCAGTCTGCGGTAAAAATAGAATCAGACAAACACAGACAGAAACGACAGCTCGCCAATCTGTGGAAACTCGTCTTCGACCGTCTCCAAAGGAAGATAGCAAACGAAAACATTCGTGGTGATGACAAGCAAAACGCATCGATGAACGACGTCTCAGGGTACAGTATCCATAAGTAGTATTCCAAAGGAGTGCAAAGATATGTGCATTTTAGGATTCAGCCTCTGCGATGGTACAATGGTAAGGAGGTGTTGGTGCTGGAGTTGCCAGCTGGCACGAGCGTCGCTGACTTTCAGTGGCTTTCCTTGTACGACCACGGAAATAGAGTAATGATTATCGTTCATCATTTCAATTCAGAGCATTTCTTCTTAACTGACTGAGGCGTTATTTCTCTTAATCAAGTGCTTA